GAGGGGCGGGGCTTGCTGGCGGGGGCGGGGCCCCACGTGCCCGCCCGGTGCCGGTGCCGGTGCCGGTGCCGGTGCCATGAAATGTGTCATCGCCGGCGGCAATGTCAAAGGTGAGCGGGGCCCGGGGAGCGCGGCCCGCCCGGGGAGCCCTGCCTGACCCCCACGCCTTCCTTCCCAGTCCTCGGCCGAGCCGTGCACTCCCTGTCCCGCATCGGCGACGAGCTCTACCTGGAGCCCACCGAGAGTGGGGTACGCAGCACCGGGGCTGGACGGGAGCTGGGGGGCACCTGCGGCCCCTCCCTCCGTGCAGGCAGTGCCAACACTGTGGTTGTTTCCCCAGCTGTCCCTCCGTGCTGTCAACTCCTCCCGTTCTGCCTTCGCCTCCTTCCTCTTCGCACCCCTCTTCTTCCAGCTGTACGAGCCGGGCAGCGCCGGGCCCGACGCGGAGCTCTTCCGATGCAAAGTGCACATGAAGGTGCAGTGCCCTGCCCCGGCCCCCCCGAGCTCCTCGCTGTTCCAGGGGCCCCGGGCAGGTGACAGTCCCCATATCCATGCCCACAGTCCTTCCTGGGCGTATTCCGCTCGCTGCCCTCGCTGGAGAAGTCGGTGGGGAAGTGCCTCATCCTGCTCAAGCCCCGTGCCAGCCGCCTGGTCCTGCAGCTCCACTGCAAGTACGGTGAGTGCCAGCGGGGACAGCCCTGCCGGGTGACACGGCACGCTGGCCTCCCGCCCCGCTGAGCCCTGTCCCCCTGCCAGGTGTCACCAAGACACACAACCTGGCCTTCCAGGAGTGCGAGCGGCTGCAGGCCGTGTTCGACACCCAGCGCTGCGCCAGCCGCCTCTGCGCCCCGGCACGGTGAGGGCACACCACGGGGGCGGCCCGGGGGGGCAGAGCGGGATGAGGGCACACGGAAGGAGGGGGCCCAGCCGGTCCCACAGGATTTGGGGTGCTCAGCCCCCTCCTGTGCCCCTCAGGGTGCTGGCAGAGGCCGTGGTTCACTTTCCCCTGACGCTGGCTGAGGTGACACTGGGGACTGGCCCTGGTGGCAAAATCAGCCTGCGGAACTACGTGGAGGACGAGGCAGGTGAGTCCTGTACGGTTAAGGGGGTCCCCTCCCCACCTTGGGGTGCCCTCCAGCACCCCACCCGCCCCGTTCCCCCCTCCAGAGCCGAGCAAGACGATGGTGACGGAGCTGTGGCTGGCTGAGGACGAGTTCCAGTCAGTGGCCGTGGCCCCGGGCTCCCACATCACCTTCTGCCTCAAGGAGTTCCGTGTGAGTCCCCAGCTAAGCCCTCCAGCCCTGTGTCACCCCCTGGCCCCCCTCACCCTCCCCTTTGTCCCCAGGGCCTGCTGAGTTTCGCCGAGGCCTCCAACCTGCCCCTCACCATCCACTTTGACGAGCCCGGCAGGTAGGAGTGGTCACCACGTCCCCACCCCGTGCCAGCCCTGTCCCTGGCACCCCCTCAGCCCCTCTGTGTGCCCAGGCCGGTGATCTTCACCCTGGATGACACTGTCCTGGAGGTTCACCTGGTGCTGGCCACCCTCTCTGACCTGGAAAGCAAGTCCCAGTCCCCTTCGACCAACGGGTAAGCCCCAGATGAGCCCTCCAGCGGCCATGGGCAGGGAGCAGAGTGAGCATTCCCAATCCTGCTCTGTCCCCACCAGCGAGTCCCACCTGCCCGCCCCGTCAGACGACTTCGCTGACGACCTGGAGTCCTACATGGCTGCCATGGAAACCAGCGAGGGGTGCTCAGAGGGGCCCCCCAGCCCCCCCTTCCCCCTGCGCACCCCCCAGCCAGCCAAGAGCAAACCCCAGGAGGAGGAGGAGGAGGAGGAAGGAGCTGTGCCAGGGACCCCTCCACACAAGAAGGTGAGGGATGGGTGTGCCTGGGGGCAGGGGGTGGGCAGAGCCTCCTCCTGACCCCCCCATTTCTCCCCACAGTTTCGCTCCCTGTTTTTTGGCTCGGTGATGACACCAGGAAAGCCTGGCCCGGCCACCGCCCAGGAGGTGCTGGCGGAGGACAGCGATGGAGAAAGCTGAGCCCCGAGTCACTGCCACCCCCAGCCTCCATCCAACCACCAGGACAGGCACCCCCCAGTGACCCATTACAAGTTTATTCCTCAAAAAATCCTCCTGCCCCCCCCCTCCGCTGCCACCCCAGGGCTGGGCTCTGGGCTCCCCCCTCGCCCCAGCACTCCCTGCCCTGGGCCTGGATTTGCTTTGGTGGAGCGTGGCTGGGGGGGGGGCAGGATCCTACAAATAAAAAAACGAGTCGAAAGAAAAGCGACCTGATGCTTGGGCGGGGGGCTGGGGGGCGTGGGCAGCACGGGGGCGGCTCCCAGCTCATTTCTTGGCTTTGGCAGAGTTTCGGGGAGGGGTGACGGGGCGCCCGGCGGGGTTCAGCCCGCTGAACTGCCCGTATTTGCCTTTGTTCTTGTCGGCCGGCTTCAAAATCTGCGGGGGAAGGGGCAAAGAAATCCGTGAGCTCCCGCCCCAGCTCTCCACTCCCCAGGAGGGCAGAGCTCCCTGCAGCCCTCCCGGCAGGAATTGGGGGTGTTTCCCCAGCCTGGGCTCACCTGGAAAGAGCACATGAGGGTCTCATCCACGCTCATCATGGCGCCGGCGTTGTCGAACTCGCCGCAGTAGTTGGGGGCCGAGAAGAGGGTGACGAGCTGGCGCTTGGCGAAGAACTCGTAGCCGTCCTCCACCACCTGGGGGGGCACGGGGTTGGCAAAAATCCACCTCGCCTGGCCACCATCCACCTGCCCCGGCAAATTCCCAGTCCCCCGGGCTGAATATCCAGCCCTGTGTACCAGGGTGAACACTCCCTGCCCTGCAGCAAATGGCCACAGCTGGGATAAACACGCACTGCCCCAGGGCAGGTATCAATCTCCAGAGTGATTATCCAACCTCTGGGAGGGACAGCCACCTCCAAGGGTGACTATTCATCCCTTCTGGGCAAATAGTTTGACATCAGAGCTAATACCCAAATGCTGAGGGGTAAATACCCAAATCCCAGGGCAAACGCCCCCAGAATTCCCACCCACAGGCTCCTGGGGTACACGCTGCCCTCGAAGGGGAAATACTCGGGGTAGAACCACCTGACACCCACTGGAGACCCAAACCCACGTGTCCCCAGTGTCTGGGGGTCCCGGGGTACCTGGTGTGCCCGGCAGATGAGGTCCAGATCGTGCTTGTGCAGGAATTTGGCCACCACCTCGGCCCCGAAGGTGAAGGAGACCCCACGGTCGTTCTCCCCCCAGCCCTGCACGTCCTTGTCGGGGTCGGACCAGAGCAGGTCACAGAGCAGCCCCTGATCCGGGACATCCGTGGGCCGCATGATCCGCCGGATCTGCTCCATCGACTGCAGGTCTGGGGACAGCCCTGCGCGACAGGGGCACCCCCAGAGCTCAGCAGGGAGATCCCATCCCTCCTCCAGCCCGCCCAAATCCCTGGGAAGGGCCATTCCCACCTCCGTGGCAGCAGAAGATCTTCTCATCCACGATGGCGGCAATGGGCAAACAATTGAAGCAGTCGGTGAAGGTCTTCCAGAGCTTGATGTTGTATCTTCTCTTGCCTGAGGGGGACAGAGGGGGCTTGGAGGTGACCCTGGGGACAGCGTGAGGGTGGGCAGGACATGGAAGGGCAGGAGGACACGGGGGAAGGGCGGGAACACACGGCAGGGAGGGAGGGAGCTCACAGGTGGGGTCAGTGTGGACAGCACTGGGACAACACAGGGAAAGGGGAGCCCATGGATGGGCTGTTGGGGGGCACAGGCCGGGCACTCACACTCGTCATAGAAGCCATAGATGCGGTTGATGCTGGCACACTCGTGGTTGCCCCGCAGCAGGAAGAAGTTCTCGGGGTACTTGATCTTGTAGGCGAGCAGCAGGCAGATGGTCTCCAGAGACTGCTTGCCCCGGTCCACGTAGTCCCCCAGAAACAGGTAATTGCTCTCAGGGGGGAAGCCCCCGTACTCAAAGAGCCTCAGGAGGTCGTAGTACTGCCCGTGGATGTCACCTGGGGGGGGACACAGGCTGTGAGTGGCACCCTGCAGCCCCCCACGCCACCCCGGTGCTGCCCAGCAGCCCCGCAGGGCTCACCGCAGATCTTGAGGGGTGCCTCCAGCTCCAGCAGGATGGGCTGGCTCAGGAAGATCTCCCGGGACTTGAGGCACAGCCCGCGGATCTCGTTCTCCGTCAGCTGCACGTTCTTCCCCGGCCGCGACCCTTGGACTACTCCCAGCACAGAGAACGGGATCAGGGATCCCCAAGTGCTCCGGGACCCCCAGGAGCCGCTGCTCTACCTGCCCCGGCCCTCCCTGCCCGTGTCCCGCACGCCCTCCGGGCTCAGCCCCAGCCCCTCAGGCTCCCCGGTGCCCTCCCGCTCCCCTCGGCGGGGCACAGACCCTTTGGGGACCCCCATTGCCTCCCGCCCCTCCCGCGGGGCACACACCTGTTCGGGATCCCCCCCTCACATCCTCCACGTCCTCCGGACTCACCTCCAGCTCCCCAGACCCCATGGGGACCCCTCAAAACCCTTCCCAGCCCTGACCCCCACCAAACCACCGCGGCCTAGCCCGCCCCCGCCAGGCCCAGGCCGCGGACCCCCCCGCGGCGTCGGGACACGGCCCGAGCCGGCCCCGAGAGGTTCCCCGAGCGGAGGAAGGCTGTCCCGGCGCTGGGGGGTGCGGCGGGGGCCGCTCACCCTCCAGGAGGCGGCTGATGATGGAGTCGAGGTTGAGCTTCTCGGTGTCCGCCATGGCCGCCCGCGCGCCGCCCCGCCCCGCGCGCCCGCCCAGAGCGGCCCCGGCGCGCGTGGCGCCCCCTGCGGGCTGGGAGGACTCACGGCAGCGGGGCTGTCCCCGCGTCCCGCTGTCCCCGCGTCCCGCTGTCCCCGCGTCCCGCTGTCCCCTCGGGAGCCGTGTCCCAGCCCCGCAGGGACGGGAAACAGGGACAGCATGGCGGGGGGGCCGACAGCAGGGAGCCACGGCGGTGCCTCAGAGGCAGGGGGACAGCCGTGGGGAGGGGACACGCTCCGCAGGGAAACATTCCGGGCAGGGGAACATCCCGGGAAAGGTGACACCCCGGGCAAAGGGACATCCCGGGCAGAGGGACATGGCTGGGAAGGGGAATGTCCTGGGAAAGGGGATACCGCGGCAAAGGGATAATCCCGGGCAAGGGAACACCGCGGGCAGAGAGCCTTCCCTGGAAAGGAGGACGTCCCGGGCAGAGGGACTTCCCTGGAAGGGAGGACGTCCAGGGAAAGGGGACATCACGGGAAAGGGGACATCCTGGGAAAGGGGACATCCCGGGCAAGAGAACAACCCGGGCAGGCGGACACGGGGGACAGAGGGGACACGGACTCGTGTCCTGGGCCTGGGGGCACAGGGCTAGAGAGGAGAGGGAAGGGAAGAGCCTCGGCACAGACAGCGGCTCCCGGGACTGCGAGGGGACAGGAGGGGACACGGAGGCAACCGGGGATCCGCATCCCTGTCCTGGGAGCACAGGGCCAGCCTGGGAACACGGGAGGGACAGGATGCTTGGTAGAGCGCAGGGATGTCCCCGCCCGGGGACCCTGGGGACACCGTGGGGAGCAGCGCCGGGCTGTTGCCGGGTGACTGTTGCCACCCCGAGGTCCCCGGGCACACCCCGAAGGGCGGGCTCCCACTGGGGACACGGGGGAGGGTGACACATTCGTGGAGGGTGGCAGCGGCAGGGACGGGCTCACGGCTGTCCCATGTCCCCACTGGCCGTGCCGTGCCGTGCCACGCCATGCCATTCCCGGGGTGCCATTCCCTGGGTGCCGCGCCGTGCCGCTCCCCGTGTCCCATTCCATGTCGTGCGGGGAGGTCGCGAATAGCTCCCGGGGCCCGCCCTGACATTTCTGCTCCGCGGTGTCAGTTTTACAGCCGGCCCCGGCTGACCCCGGGCTGGCCCCGTCCCTGCCCCCGGACACTTGTCCCCTGTCCCCCTCCCCGTCCCTCGCCCCGCTCCCCACCCCAGCCCCTTGGCCCCGTCTCCCGGCGGTGGCACTCCGGCCCCGCCACCCTCGCCCGCGCTGTCCCCTTCGCTCTACCACCTCCTTGGGTGTCCCGGTCCCCCCGGTGCCCCCGGTCCCGCCCCGCCCCGCCCCGCCCGAGCAGGACACGGCGGAGCCGCCACCGCCGGGACCGGAGCGGGCAGAGCCGCTGCGACAGCACCAGGACAGACCGACACCGACAGACACCGACAGACAGACACCGGCAGACAGACACCGGCAGACACCGGCACCGGCGGTGGGTGCGGGCGGCACGGGGGGATGCGGGCGGATTCGGGGGGCAGCGGGAGGGGCTCGGGTGTGTGCGCACACCTGGGACACGGGGCAGGTGACAGCGCAGGTGACAGGTGGGTGATGGTGTTCACGACGCGGCGGGGGTGGCAGGGTGCGGGTGACAGCGCGGTGGCAGGGTGCTGGTGACAGGGTACAGGTGACAGGTGGGTGATGTGCGCGACAAGTGGTGGGTGGCAGCGCGGGTGGCAGTGCAGGTGGCAGTGCAGGTGACAGGGTGCCGGTGATGGTGCGGTGTCGCAGCGTGGGGGACGATGCGTGTGACAGGGCGTGAGTGACAGGTGCGGGTGACAGGATCCTGGCGGTGGTGCAGGTGACGGTGTGTGCCGGGTTGTGGGCGACAGGGTGCACGTGACATTCAGGTGACAGTGCGGGCGGCAGGGTGACAGCGCGGGTGACAGCGCGTGCAGGACTCGGCGGCGCGGCAGCCGCGCTGGTGGCCCCGCGCCTGCCGGCGGCGGTGACGGTGACAGTGACACTGACGCCGCGGGCAGCTGGAACTAAGCCGGGGGACGTGCGTGCTGGCAGCTCCGCCACGCTGGGGACAGGGGGACAGGAAGGGGGGGAGGACGAGGGGCGTGCCCAGCCGGGGGACGCGGGACAGGGGGACAGGGGGACAGGAGAGCCCCGTCCGGCTGAGCCACCCCCCGGCTCCCGCTGAGGCAGCTCGCTGGTGACGGGGACAGGGACACGGACAGGGGTGCCAGCGCCTGGCGCGAGGTGGCAGAGGGGACAATGGCGCTCTGTGTCGCCTAATCCGGGGCACGGGGCCGGGGCTTGGCACCCCGGGGTGGCGCGGGGGGGTTTAAAGGCCAGACCGGCCGGTGTCCCCTGTGCCAGGCGTCCCCGAGCCCTCGTCCCCTGCGCGCTCTCAGGCTACGGCTCCCACCCCAAGGTACCGGGCGACACAGCTGTCCCAGCTTGGGGACAGCAGCAGCAGCTCCCAGCTGGGGATGGAGGGGGACAGGGCGGTCCTGAGGCTGGGGCGGGCACGGACTTCGAGGGACCCCCGTAACGGGGTTTTGGGGGGTCCTTGTGCCACGCCACCGAGCCGTGTGTCCCCTGACGCTGCCACCGGGTGCCGGGCTTGGGGACACCCTGGCTGCCAGCAGGCTCCGTGCCTCAGTTTCCCTCTGAGCCCAGCTCTGCCGGGCACCTGCTGGGAGCGGGGGCACCCGGAGGGGGTCGGGACACCCCGGACCCGGGTCTGCACCCGCAGGGCACCCTGGCACCCCCGGCATGGGGAGGTGTCCCCGGCTGTGCTGAGCTGGCACAGGATTACACCAAGCCGGAGGCGCCGGGGCCAGCGGGGCTGGCACCGAGGGGACAACCTGAGGCCACCGTGACTGGCACCGAGGGGTCAATCTGGGGCCGCCAGTCCTGTCAACGAGGGGACAAGCTGGGGCCACAGGCACTGGCACCGAGGGGTCAGTCTCGGGACACTGGGACTAGCACTGAGGGGACAAGGTGACGACACGGAGCTGGCACCGAGGCGTGCCCCAGGAAGCGTGCCAGGCTCTGGTGGGTGCCACAGGACGGGTCCCCCCGCTGGAGCTGGGGTTGGGGCTCCCAGCACCGCCGGGGGGTGGCCGGGGAGGGGTGGCAGGTCCCCAGGGAGCCGCGCTGACTGTGCCTGTCCTTCTCTTGCAGCCCCCGTGTCACCAGGATGGTGAGTGGCCCCCGGGTGGGGGGTCCGGGCGGAGGTGGGTGCCCCATCCCGGGATCCCGGCGGTGCCGGGCACTGGCGCGGGGCAGCGAGCGGCGCGGCGTGCCGTGCCCACCCGCCGCGTGACCCCGCGGGGACAAGGGGACGCTTTGTCCCAGAGCTGGCGGCCCCGGCGGCTGGCACTGCCCCGCTGTCCCCGAGGCGGTGGCGCCGTGCCCGGCGCCCGCAGCCCCCCAGCACCCCGACGCCCCCACCCCACGGGCAGGCACCGCCGTGTCCCGTGCCAGCCCCCCGTGTCCGCCCCGTGCCCACCCGGGCTCTGTCCACCTGCCAGCCCCCGAACTCCGTGCCAGCCCCAGACCACCCCCTTACCCCCGTGTCAGCCCCGTGCCAGCCCTGTCCCTGCTCCCACAGCTCTCGACGTCGCAGCCGAGCCCGGAGCGGGTGCCCAGCCCGGAGGAGCAGGAGTGGGCCGGGCCCGAGGCGCTGTGCCCGGGCTGGCTGGAGGACGAGGCCCCCGATGGCGAAGTGCCCGGGGACAGCGGGGACCCCGACGGTGCCACCCACGCCTACGAGCGGCTCCAGAGCGCCCTGCGCCAGGAGGGGCTGCCCCCCACGCTGGACTGCTCCGCGGAGCCCCGCACGGGTTGGGGACTCAGGGGTGGCAGGGACAGTGTTACGGGCTCGATGCCAGGCTGGGGACTCGGGGGTGGCAGGGACAGTGTTACGGGCTCGATGCCAGGCTGGGGACACGGGGGTGGCAGGGATAAGGGTGGCAATGAGGATGCGGTGCCAGGCTAGGGACACAGGGGGTTTGGGGGCTCCCAGCCACGCTGGGGTGCCACCAGGGCAGGGTGGTGCCAGGGTCCCCACCCCGGGGCTGTTAACCCTTCCCTTCCCGGCAGGATTTGGCCCGCTGGACATGACCGTTTGCATCCTGGGCTCCCCCACCCCCTTCCTGCCCATCCTGCTGGAGGGTGGCACCCGCTGCCCAGGTGGGTGCCATCCCTTTGTCCCCACCCCGCATGAGACACCCCTGAGCCAACAGCAGGGCTCCCCACGCCCGCCTGTGCTGCCTGACCCAGACTGTGAGGGAAACTGAGGCAGGGGAGCAGGGTGGCAGCAGCCCCCCGTGTCCCGTTATTCCCAGTACACACCAGTCCAGCAGCAACCTCCGTTCCACACCCCCTGCCCCCGCAGCACCACCCCCACGGGGGGCAGTTCGGGGCAGGGGTGCCCCCCGCCCACCCCCGCGCCCACCCGCAGGTGCCATGGTGCTGTGCCTGTCCCCCGCCTGGGCCAGCCGGGTGCCATCGGAGTCGTCCCCAGGCGCCTGGTCCCTGCTGCTCTCCCGGGGCGTCTCCTTCAGGGCGGGGGGGCACAGCGCCCTGGAGACCTTCGTGCCCCCGCGCCGCGCCAACTATGTGACGGGCACCTTCGCACCGGGGGACCCCGAGGGCGGCTGGGTGGGCGAGCTGGCCCGTGACCTCGACTGCCCCACGGGGGGCTCGGTCCCGCTCGCCCACCGCCTCGAGGACACGCTGGTCACCCGCTGGGTGCTGGCGGCTCGCGCCAGCCTACCCGTGCCCCCCACGCTGGCCTTTGTCCTGGGGGCCAGGGGGGACCTGCCCGCCGAGCCCGTGGCCCCCGGGGTGAGGCTGGTGCGGCTGCAGGACCTGCAGGCCCAGCAGAGCCTGGTGCAGGAGGAGGTGGGCGCCTTCCTGGGGGGCACCGCCATGGAGCCCTACGGCCAGGTGGGCACGGCAGGGCTGGGCGCTGCCGGTGGCACCGGGTGGCACGGAGAAGCACGGGGGCACACGCGGGTGGTGGGGTGGCTGTTAGGGTGGCGACCAGGTGGCACTGGGGGGCATGGGGTGACAGGGGTGCATGCGGGTGGTGGGGTGGCACGAGGTGACGCTGGGCTGGGCGCAGGCGGCGGGCTGGCTGCTGGGGTGGCACCGGGTGGCACGGGGTGACACGGAGGTGCTCGCAGGTGGTGGTGCGGCCGGCCGGGTGGCGGTGGCGGGGGACAGGCACCCGCAGCACCCACAGGAAGGAGGAGGGGGCGGCGGTGGCGCAGGCGGTGGGTGCCCGGCTCCAGGGGCTGACGGAGGAGGACAGCGTCCTGCTGGAGGCCATGGTGCCCACCGCCCGCCTGCCCGTGCCCCCCCCACGTAAGGCCCCCGCCCTCGGGCGCCCACCACCCTGGGAGGGGGGGGAGAGTCCCCCGGGGTCCCTCGGGTCCCTGCAGCTCTGCCAGCCACGTGTCTGTCCCCTGGGGCGGGTGGGTGGGGGGCATCGGGCAGGCGGGGTGCCCAAATTACTGGGGTCCAGGGGGAGGGCTCGAGGGTCACCCTGGACACCCACAGTCCCATGGGTTAGGGCTGGGGGACAGTTTGCCACCTTGGACCCCCACAGACCCATAGGGAGAGGTGGGGAAGGTCATCCTGGACCCCCACGGTCCCCTGGGGCTGGGCAGGGTGTTGGGGTGACCCCCTCTGACTCCCGACAGTCCCGTGGGGCTGGGGATGACAGTGGCCGTGCTGTACCCCTCACTCCCTGGGGCTGGGCTTGGCCGGGGCCACCACGGTGCCGCAGGGAGTGCCAAAAGGCCCCGGAGGAGGGGGAGGTCGGGCAGGGCCACCCTGTCCCCGCATGGCGGCCGTGCCTGCCCTGTCCCTTGCCCCCCAGGCAGCCCAGCCCCGCGGCTGCCCATGGCCCTGCGCATCTGCACCCTCGTCTGCAGGTCCTGGGGGGACCGGCCCCAGCTCTGCCAGGTACGGCATGTCCCCACAACCCGCTGGCTCTGTGCGTCCCCAGCCTGTGATGGCTGTCCCCGTGTCCTGGTGGTCCTGGCTGTCCCCAGGATTGGTGGCCATCCACATCCATGCCTTGGGCCAGCGTGTCACCCCAGGTCCCTACGCCCTGGCGGCAGCTGCGTCCCCAGGCTGTGAGTCGGCAGCCAATGGTGGCAGGCGGTGTCCCCGCACACACCTGGGTGTCGCCGTGTCCCCGCAGGTGGCCTGCGCCGTGGGACGCGCGGAGAGCCCGGTGCGTCACGGCGCGGCGCTGCCCCAGGGCCTGGACTCCAGCCTGCAGCAGTGGGGGGTGGTGGCCCCCAGCCAGCGCCAGGCGCTGGCCACGCGGCTGCGGGAGGCCACCGAGGCCGCCGCGGCCGCTCTCCTGGCCAGCGAGGCCGAGCTGAGCCCGCGGCAGCGCGGCGGCGGCCGAGCCTGCACCGACATCCTGGGTGAGCGCGGCGCGGGTGACGGACGGGGGGCCCCGCGGTGCTGAGCCCGGTGTCACCGTCATTGTCACCATCCCCAGGCGTGGACTTCCTGCTGGCGAGCGTGGATGAGGCGCTGGAGCTGGTGGCCCTGGCCGCGAACGGGCAGCGGTGCCTGGAGACCTGCGCGCTGGCCGAGGCCATGGGGCGCGGCGTGGGCCAGCCCCGCGGGGAGCTGCCGCGCCTGCTGGCCGAGGCGCTGCTGCACCGGGCGCAGCGACACCTGGTCGAGGGCAAGGACATCCTGCTCATCGGGGCCGGGGGCGTCAGCAAGAGCTTCGTGTGGGAGGCGGCCCGCGACTACGGGCTGAGGGTGAGCGGCGGGGGGCGGCGGGGGGCGGCGGGGCCGTGCCGGGGCCGGCGGTGCCCCGGTGACGCCTCTCCGGGGCCGCAGATCCACCTGGTGGAGTCGGACCCGGAGCACTTCGCGGCGGGGCTGGTGCACACCTTCCTGCCCTACGACAGCCGGGAGCACCGGCGCGACGAGGAGCACGCCGAGCGGGTGCTGGAGCTGCTGCGCTCCCGCGGGCTGCGGCCCCACGCCTGCCTCTCCTACTGGGACGACTGCGTGGTGCTGGCGGCCCTGGTGTGCCAGGGGCTGGGGCTCCGCGGCCCCGCGCCCGCCGCCGTGCGGGTGGCCAAGCAGAAGAGCCGCACGCACCGGCACCTGCAGCGCTGCCGCCGCGGCCGGGCGGCGGGCGCCGTGCCCTTCCCCGCCGTGGCCAAGCTGGAGTTCGGCGCGGGCGGCGTGGGCGTGCGGCTGGTGGAGGACGCCGGGCAGTGCCACGCTCACGCCGCCCGGCTCTGGAGGGACCTGCGCGACGACGCCGACCACCCGGGCATCGGGCTGGGCTGGGGCAACGCCATGCTGCTCATGGAGTACGTGCCGGGCACCGAGCACGACGTGGACCTGGTGGTCTTCGAGGGGCGGCTGCTGGGCGCGTGGGTGTCGGACAACGGCCCCACGCGTGTCCCCGCCTTCCTGGAGACGGCGGCCTGCCTGCCCTCGTGCCTGCCCGCCGACCGGCAGGCGCAGCTGGTGCGGGCGGCGCTGCAGTGCTGCCGGGCGTGCGGGCTGCGCGACGGCGTCTTCAACGTGGAGCTCAAGCTGGGCCCGGCGGGGCCGCGCCTGCTGGAGATCAACCCCCGCATGGGGGGCTTCTACCTGCGCGACTGGATCCGCGAGGTCTACGGCCCCGACCTGCTGCTGGCCGCCGTGCTGGTGGCGCTGGGCGTGCCGCCCGTGCTGCCCGCCCGGCCCGCGCCCCGCACGCACCTGGCCGGGGTGATGTGCCTGGCGTCCGAGCACGGCGACAGCCTGGCGGCCGGCGGCGGCATGCGGGCTCTGCGGGAGCTGCACGGCCGCGGGCTCGTCCGCCTCAACCGGCTCTTCGAGGAGCCCGAGGGGGCCGGCGAGTACGAGGAGCCGCTGCTGAGCGTGGCATGCGCCGGGGCCACGCTGGCCGAGGCCTGCGAGCGCCTGCTGGGGCTCTGCCAGGGGCTGGGCATCGACTCCCCGCGGTATCCCGTGGAGCATTTCTTGTCCCACTTCAAATAGCGCCGGGCAGGCAGCGGGGACGGCGGGGGAATGGGTGCCCCGGCACCCGCTCCCGCCGCCCCGCCGCCCCTCCCCGGCATCCCCCGGAACCCCCATCCCGTGGCCTGGCATGCCATGTCCTGGCACCCCCGTACCGCCCCGGATCAGTCACCGGGCCTGCCACCCCATTGCCTGGCACTCCCCTTCCTCCTGGCACTCCATCCCCTGGCATCCCCTCGCTCCCCTGGCAGCCCATCCCCCGGCATCCTGACATCCCATCCACTGGGATCCCCCTGTTAACCCGGCACTCCATCCCCTGGCATGCCCCGACTCTCCTGGTGCCCATCCCCTGGCATCTTGAAACCCCCTCTCCTGGCACCCCCCACACTACTGTGACACCCCAATCCCCGGCATGCCCCATGTCCTGGCACCACATTCCCTGGCATCCCCATCCATCCTGGCACTTCATCCTTCCACCGCACTGACACCCCCTCTCCCAGTCCAGGCACCCCATCCCCTGGCATCCCTCCATTACCCTGGCACCCCATCCCCGGCTTCCCAGCGTCCCTCCCTGTCCCCCTGTCCTGTCCCTGCAGTCTCTACCCCCTGTCCCTGGGGGTGCCATGCCTGGGGACACACGGGGGGACACTGTGCCATCCCCAGGGTGGGGCAGCCAGGACCCCCAGTGCACCCAGGCCACCCCACAGAGCAGCAGGTGAAGCGTGAGGTGTGCTGGCACCTGCTGGCACGGGGAGACCCTGCAGCAACAAACCGTTATGGGGGGACCCCATAATGACAAAGAATTATTGGGACACCCCACAGCAACAAAGAAACGTGGGGAGACCCCGCGATAACACACCCGCAAGGGGAGACCCCACAGGAGCAGACTGAGGTGGGGACACCCCACAGTGACACCCTCCAAGGGAAGATCCTACAATAACAAACGGGGAGACTCCACAGTAGCAAAGCAGTGTGGGGACACCCTACAGCAGCACACCCTGAAAGGGAGACCCCACGATAACAAACTGGCACGGGGAGACCCTACAATGATAGACCTGCACCAGGGAACCCTACAGCAACAGAGGGGCACCCAGGGATTCCCTGGAGAAAATCCTTTGGGAAGACTTGTGTGACGTGATATAGGGCTGTCACTGGGGAGGCCCTACAGTAACACCAGTGACTCTACACCAACACCCAGCCCCTGAAATGTCTGAGATCCTACAAAAACACCAGGGACCCTATGCTAACACAGAGCCCTTTAGTGCCCCTGACCCTACAATAACAGCTGTGACCCCACAATAACACCCAGATCCTGCAGCCCTCACGGCCCTACAATAACACCAGAGACCCTACAATAACACAGAGCCCCTGAGGTGCCTGCAATAACACACAGCCACTGCAGTGCCTGACACCCTCCAATAAACCCCAGCCCCCGTAGTGCCCCTGACCCTACAACAACACCAGCGACCCTACAACAACACCCAGCCCCCGTAGTGCCCCTGACTCTACAATAACACCGGCGACCCTACAACAACACCCAGCCCCGCAGTGCCCCTGACCCTACAACAGCACAGAGACCCCCCAAGAGCACGCAGCCCCCCGGTAACAGCGGTGACCCCACAATCACCCCGGTGACCCCACAACCACCCCGGTGTCCCGCAGCCCCACTCGTGCCCTCCGACCCCGCGGAAACCCGGACCGGGATCTCCGCCCGGGGTCACCGGGGTGTCCCCCTCTCTTCCTGCCCCCTCCTCTGACGTCACGGCGGCGCCGCTGACGTCAGCGCGGCGCAGGGGGCGGGTCCCCTTTACCGGGATCCCCAGTAAAGGCTGTGAGCGGCCGCGCTGCCTCTGTCGTGTTCCCTGCGCCACCCCCGGGACCCCCGTCCCCGTGTCCCCCGCGCTGGGGACACCCCGGTGACGCGGGGGGCGTGGCCGGCGGGAGGGGCGTGGCCATGGGCGTGACCAAGGCGGCGGGTTCCCCGGGGTCCCGATAAGGCGGTGACGCGGGGGCGTGGCCGGGGCGTGGCCGCCCGGGGGGCGTGGCCATCGGGGCGGGTCCCCGGGGGTCCCGGCGCGGCGCCGTCATGGCGGGGGTGTTCGATATCGACCTGGAGACCGAGGAGGGCAGCGACGGGGACGAGCCCGAGCTGGGCGCCGTGAGCCGGCAGCGGGGCGCGGGGGGCGCCGGGGCTGCGAGCGGCAGCGGGGCCGGACGGGCGGTGGAGGCGGTGAGCGGCAGCGGGGCGCGGTGGGGACGGCGGGATCGCGGGTGTCGGGGGTGCGTGGGGTCCGCTCGGTGCCGGGAAGGGCGGGCAGGGGCTGGGGGGGACAGCGACACGGGCAGTGACAGGGTCCCGCCGGGGGCGGGACGGGGGTGTAGCCGGGCTGTCCGCGGGGACGGGGCGCCCGGGCACCGGGGGCAGCCGCGGATCCCGGGCGGGCAGCGGGCGGCTCCCGCTGGGCAGGGCCCGGCCTCGGCCCCAAAACATCCGGCTGGGCCGGCTCGGCGCTGCCTCGCCCCACGCGCCCGGCTCCTGCCCGGCTCCTGCCCGGCTCCCCTCCTTGCCATGTGTCCCCTCCCTGCCGTGGGTCCCCTCCTTGCCATGTGTCCCCTCCCTGCCGTGCGTCCCCTGCCCGCTGCTCCCCCCTGCGCGCCCCTGACCGCGAGTTCCCTCCCGCAGGAGATGGAGCTGGAGCCCCGGGGAAACGGCCTGGAGTAAGTGGGGGACGGGCTGCAGGGGGTTATGCGGGCAGGGGACAGGCAGGGGACAGGCAGGGGGCTGTCCCCGCTCACCCCCTCTCCCGCCAGGCCGGTGGGACACTACGAAGAGATCGAGATTTCCGAGAGCAGCGTCAACAACGGCCCCGAGCACATCGGCCCCCACTGCTTCGAGCTGCTCCGCGTCCTGGGCAAGGGCGGCTACGGCAAGGTGGGGACACGGCGGCGCTGGGGGTCACTGGGGTGCCCCCCGACCACGTCCCCAACGTCCCCTGCCCGCCCCTCCAGGTGTTCCAGGTGCGCAAAGTGCAGGGCACCAACACGGGCAAGATCTTCGCCATGAAGGTCCTGAAGAAGGTAGGGCCGCCCCGGCCCCCCCAAACCCCCCGGGGACCCCCCCCGCTCACCGCCTCCCCCCCAGGCCAAGATCGCCTGCAACGCCAAGGACACGGCGCACACCCGGGCCGAGAGGAACATCCTGGAGGCCGTCAAGCACCCCTTCATCGTGGACCTCATCTACGCCTTCCAGACGGGCGGCAAGCTCTACCTCATCCTGGAGTGCCTCAGCGGTGAGGGGCGGCACCGGGATGGCTCCAGGGATGGCTGCACGTTGTCCCAGGGGTGGCTCCAGGGGCTCCAGGGGTGGCTTGGGGTGTCCAGGCATGGTTAAAGCGTGACTTAGTGTGGCTACAGTGTCCAGGGAGGGTGTCCAGGGGTGGCTCAGGGGGTCCAGGGATGGACCTGGTGTGGCTACAGTGTCCAGGGATGGCTCAGGATGTCCAGGGATGGTTCAAGGGTGACCTGGGGTGGTTACAGTGTCCAGGGAGGGTGTCCAGGGGTGGCTCAGGGTGTCCAGGGATGGTTAAAGCGTGACCTGGTGTGGTTACAGTGTCCGGGGAGGGTGTCCAGGGGTGGCTCAGGGTGTCCAGGGATGGTTAAAGCGTGACTTAGTGTGGCTACAGTGTCCAGGGGTGGCTCGGGATGTCCAGGGATGGACCTGGTGTGGCTACAGTGCCCAGGGAGGGTGTCCAGGGGTGGCTCAGGATGTCCAGGGATGGTTAAAGTGTGACTTAGTGTGGCTACAGTGTCCAGGGAGCATGCCCAGGGGTGACTCATGATGTCCAGGGATGGTTCAAGGGTGACCTGGGGTGGTTACAGTGTCCAGGGAGGGGGTCCAGGGGTGGCTCAGGATGTCCAGGGGTGATGTAAGGGTGTCCCAGGATGGCTGCAGAGTGTCTCAGGATGGCTCAGATGTTCCCAGGGGTGATTAAGGAGTGCCCAGGGATGGCTCAGGAGGGTCCCTCTTGTGCTCTGTATGCAGGTGGAGAGCTCTTCATGCAGCTGGAGCGGGAAGGGATCTTCCTGGAGGACACTGCCTGGTAGGGATGAGGGTGGTGGTGGGCATGGATGGGGTGGGCACCCTGACATGGCTCACAGCCACCCCCATCCCGCTGCAGTTTCTACCTGAGTGAGATCACGCTGGCACTGGGTCACCTGCATTCCCACGGGATCATCTACCGGGACCTCAAGCCAGAGAATATCATGCTCAACAGCCAAGGTGGGTTTGGGGGGGCGAACTGGGCCTGGGGGGTTCTTTGGGGGCGGTGCTGACCCCTCCACGCCCCTCAGGTCACATCAAGCTGACGGACTTCGGGCTGTGCAAGGAGTCCATCCACGACGGAGCCGTCACCCACACCTTCTGCGGCACCATCGAGTACATGTGAGGTGGATGCAGCACTGGGGGGAATTTGGGGGGCTTTGTCCTGGCCCCCCATCCGCTCAGGGCCCCCCCCTGCACCCCCCAGGGCCCCCGAGATCCTGGTGCGGAGCGGGCACAACCGGGCGGTGGACTGGTGGAGCCTGGGCGCCCTGATGTACGACATGCTCACCGGATCGGCAAGTCCCACTGCTGCTCCCTCCTCCCCGGGGCTTGTGGGGGGCATCCCGGGGTGACCGGGGTGACCTTCCTGGCCCCGCCTGGCTCCTCACGGCCCCCCTGTGCCCCCACAGCCGCCGTTCACCGCCGAGAACCGCAAGAAGACCATCGACAAGATCCTCAAGGGCAAGCTGGTGCTGCCGCCCTACCTGACACCCGACGCCCGTGACCTCCTCAAGAAGGTGAGCCCCCCCAAAAATTTCCCTCCCCCACCTTTATTTATGCAGGTCCTCCCCCCCAATCCCATGTCCATCCCTGTTTCTCTTCCAGTTCCTCAAGCGGAACCCCAGCCAGAGGGTTGGGGGCGGCCCCGGTGACGCGGCCGATGTGCAGGTACAGGGGTGGGCGGGCGGGGGGTGCCAGGGGACACCCCCCAAACCCTGTCTGACCCCCAAACCCTGCCTGAGCCCCCCAAGCCCTGCCTGAGCTCCCCAAACCCCACAGAAACAGCCTTTCTTCCGCCACATCAACTGGGAGGACCTGCTGGCGCGCAGGCTGGACCCCCCCTTCAAGCCCTGCCTGGTATGGGGGGGCCGAGGGGGGAGGCTGGGGATGTTTTGGGGGGCCCCGTGGGAGCAGCCGCCGTGTTCCCTGCAGCAGTCAGAGGAGGACGTGAGCCAGTTCGACACCCGCTTCACCCGCCAGACCCCCGTGGACAGCCCCGACGACGCGGCCATCAGCGAGAGCGCCAACCAGGCCTTCCTGGTAGGGGGGCACAGCCCGAGGGGGGCCCCTGGCACGCCCAGGGCCCCCCCGGTGACACCCCCAAACCCGCAGGGCTTCACCTACGTGGCCCCCTCCGTGCTGGAGAGCATCAAGGAGGGGTTCTCCTTCCAGCCCAAGGTGCGCTCCCCCCGCCGCCTCAACAGCAGCCCCCGCACCCCCGTCAGGTACCGGGGAACAGGGGGTGCTTGGGGTGGGGGGCTTTGGGATGGAGGTGTTTTGGGATGGGGGTTTCAGGGTGGGAACCGAGGTGGCGACAGGGGACAACGCTGGGGGTGCAGTGGGGGGGCTGAGCCTGTCTCATGCTGGGGGTACAGAGAGGCTGTGGGGGCAGTGGGGTGAGGGTTCGGGGTGCTGTGGGGTGAGGGGGTGAAGAAGGAGTAGAGGAGGTCCATGGAGCGTGGGGGGAGTTGGGGTCTCCAGGGGTGGGGAAGGAGCTCTGTTGGCACGAGCTGCCCCCCCTTCCTCACCCTCTGTGGGTGCCCCACTCACCCCCTCATGTGTCCCCCCCCAGCCCTGTGAAGTTCTCCCCCTTCGAGGCGTTCAAGCCGGTGGCCCCAGGCGACCCCATGGAGCTGGGGCCCCCCCAGGCCCCCCCGCCCGAGGGCACGGCCCCCCTGCCCATCAAACCCTCGGGGGGGGCCAAGAAGCAGAAGGGGGGCCGGGGGCGGGTGCCCAGGTAGGGGGTGGGGGGAACCCCACGGTGCTGCTCGTGCTCCGGGGGGCTCATCCCCCTCCGGCACAGCCCCCTGCCCGCCGGGTTTGGGGGCACGGGGAGAGCCCCCAGGGGCGTGCCCCCCCCAGGGATGTGCCCCCGTGGGCGTGGCCTTTTGGGGTGTGGCCCCTCTGGGGGCAATGCCTTTGGGGTGTGGCCTCTGGGGCGTGGCCCTGCTGCTGGATGTGTGCCAATTAAAGGACTTGCTGAGGCTGTGGTGGTCGCTGTGCTGGGGCTGGGGGGGCTCACTGGGAGGGTGGGGAGTTGCCCCACCAGGGGAGGGTCCAGGCTCCACCCCCTGCGTGATGCCCCGCCCCATTTTAGGCTCCTCCCATTTGCCACACCCCTTTGTTAGCCCCACCCACTTCTGTGCAAACCACGCCCCCGGTCTGCTCTGCCCCCAGAGCTGCTCTTTTATTGGTCAGTGCAAACCCGCGCAAGGCCCCTGCAGCCAATCAGGAGCCTCGGCGGGGGATGGCAGGGGACAGAGAAGGGGTCCCTTTGCTGGCAGGGCGGTGACACTACGGGGAGGTGACACTGCAGGGCAGTGACATTACAGGCAGGTGACACTGCAGGGCAGTGCCATTACAGGGAGGTGCCATTACAGAGAGGTGCCATTACAGGGAGGTGACATTACAAGGTGGTGACACTACAGGGCTGTGACATTACAGGGCAGTGACACTTCAGGGTGGTGCCATTACAGGGTGGTGCCATTACAGGGAGGTGACATTACAGGGAGGTGACACTTCAGGGTGATGACATCAAAGGGTGGTGACGTCAGGACGGTGACGTCACAGGGCGGTGACATGTGGCCGCGTGTCCCCCCAGGCCGCTGTCCCCGAGAAGGCGTGCAGGTCACTGAGCAGGGCCTCGGCGCTGCCCCCCGCCGCCTGCCCCTCGCTCAGGGGGCTCTCCCCGCCCTCCGGCAGTGCTTCGGCCTCCTCCTCATCCTCCTCCTGCTCATCCTCCTCCTCCTCCTCCTCCTGCTGCTGCGGCCGCCGCTCCAGGCTCCAGGGCATCAGCTCTTCCTGCTCGTCCCGCACGGCCACCTCCCCGTGGCTGTCGCTGTCGCCGGGGGCCGCGGCGGGGTCCCCCGGTGCCCGCAGCCGGTGCCACTGTCCCCGCAGCAGCTGCAGCGCCCGGCGGCCCAGGGGCCGGGGGTGGTAGCGGCCGGCCGAGATGCGGCACAGGTGGTGCCAGGCCAGCGCCAGCCCCACCGCCAGGCACAGCAGCAGCGCCAGCAGCGCGGCCACCGCCCGGTCGCTGCGGGCCACCGCGGGGTCCCCGGCCGCCGCCGGGCCCGCCAGCACCAGCAGCAGCGGGTGCCAGCGCGGGGCAGCCTGCAGGGATGGCAGCGGGGTCACAGCCCGGCACGTGGCTTCCCGGAGCTGGCACGCAGGGAAGGGCCGGGGGCAAGGTACAGGGACACAGGACAAGGCCGGGAGGGGGAGGTGACCCCCGGCACGGAAGGCGTGGGTGGCGGGCGCAGCAGCACCCGCAGGTGCCGGGGGAGAGGAACCGGGTCCTGCCACCCCACAGGGCTGCAAAGCCCCCCTAGAATCCCCCGTCCCTGCCCACGGGGCTGCAGCCCCACTGCACCCCCTGCCAAAGCCCCGGGGCCCCCCAAAACGCGGCGCTCGCAGTCTTCGCTGTGGCTGCACAGCCCCTGAGCCCACCCCAAAACCTGACCCCAACCCCCAAGCCCACCGTGCTCCCCTCATCCCCCCCCAAACCCTCCCGCTCCCCCCAGCCTCACGCCGGCTCCCTGATCCTGACTCCCCCATGCCCCGGGCCCCCACCCTGCCCGGTTTTGGGGTGCTCACCATCAGCGGGTGCAGCCAGAGCGGGTCCCGATGCCGCGGGCACGCTCCGAGATGGGGGAGCCCCCCCGACTTCCTGCCCCGCGCAGCGGATGTGCCAGAGCGGGGGGGGCCCGGCTGCACCCCCTCAGCCCTGCTACCCAAAATGCCGCCCCGTGCTCCCCCGCTTCCTGCCGAGGCGCCGAGCTCCCCCCGCGACCGCTGCGCCTTCCTGCCCCCGCTCTGTCACCCTGCAGGTGGCCCTGCAGCCGGGGCTTTTCTTATAAATCCTTTATTCGGAGTGAAAATATAGTTTTTGACCCTGCACTGGAATGGAGAGGTGGGGGTCACAAGGAGGAGGAGGAGGAGGAGGGGAGGAAAAGCCCCCAAAATATAGGGGGGACAGTATCTCACAGTTGAGGAAGGCAGATCGTGCCCGGCTCCAAAGAAAGGGGGGAGACCCCACACAGGGATTGGGGAGTGCAGGGGGCAATCTTTGATCCCAGGAGCAACCCCCAGCCCGAGGAATGGGGGCAGGGGTGGAGAATGGTCCATGATTTGGGGGGGCAGCACCCAGTAAGGCAATGGGGGGAAGCGGGGAGCTGCCAGAGGGGCGGCCAGCCCCCCAGTGGGAGAAGGGCCCGTAGCGGGGCAAAGGGGGGCACCCCAGGGGGGGCGAGATGATTCGGGGGGGTCCCTGGGGTGCAGGCGTGGTCCCTGGGGCGGTGGTCCCTGCGGGGCTCCCTACACGTGGCCGTTCTCCAGGCGGCTGAGCTGCTCCTCCAGGCGGGAGATGCGCTGGCCCTGCTCCGCCACCAGCGCCCGCAGCGCCGCCACCTCCTGCAGCACCTCCTCCAGGCGACCTCCCTGGGGACAGCCCCGTCACGGGACACGCCCCGCACGGCCACACCCGCTGCCACACCCACCCACGGCCACCAGAGGGACCGCACCCACCACACCCCCTGTCCCTTTCCCGCGTGCCCCCCGTGTCCCCACTGTCCCCCGTGTCCCCTTACCGTGGCGCTGCCGGAGCCGAGCACCGGGGGGGCACTGAAGCGAGCGGAGGCGGGGGCCGCGGGGGGCGTGGGAGGCGGCGTGGTGGCCCCGGTGGCGGCGGCGGCAGTGGCGCGGCTGTCGTGGAGCAGCGTCCGCCGGCTCACCTTGAGGTCCCGCTGCTTGCTGGGGACGTAGGCCTGGCGCAGGGACACCAGCACGGGCCCCGCCGTGCGCCCCGCCACCCACTCCTCCGCCTCCATGGCCGCCTCGGGGCCCGCCGTGTCCGGGTACAGGTCGTCCTGGAACAGGTCCGACTGCCCCCAAGGGCGTCACAGGGGTGGCAGCCTCAGGGGGACCCCCAGAGAGGCACCACGGGGACACAGCCTCACCGGGGACCCCCCAGTGCTCCCACGTCCTGCTCAGGGACCTCACACGCAGACCCCATAGGGAGCCCTTGCCCAGCCACCAGGACCTGCCCAGGAGCCCCACACGTCCCTGTGTCCTGCCCAGTGACACTGCTGGGTCCCCCCATCCCGCTCTCCCCTATCCCCACCCACCTTCCTTGGCACGGTCATGATGATGGGCTCACACTTGCGCTCGTGCAGCTTGTAGAACCTGCCAGGGGAGCAGAGCGGGGTCATGGAAGGCTCTGGGGGGCTCTGGGGGTCCCTCACCCCGTCCCCCGTGTCCCCGTGCCCACCTGGCGATCTCGCACTTGCTGACGTCCAGCCCGCGCTTGGGCATCCAGCCCATTCCCCGCTGGGGCTCCTTGCTGGTGAAGGTGTTGAGGAAGTGGATGTAGGGCGGCTCCTCAGTGATCTCGAAGTAGCGGATGCTCGAGTCCCCCTGGGGACACGCCGTTAGGGGGGACCCTGGCCCCGGGGGTGCCACCAGCGGGGCGGGGCGCTCCGTACCTTGCCGCAGACGTAGACCACGTTGGTGTCGGGGTCGTAGAAGGGCAGCAGAGCCCCGTTGCTGGAGTCCAGCTCCTGCAGCCCCATGGGCTCCTCCAGGTTCTCCTGGGGTGGGATGAGGTGTCAGGCACGCGGGGAACCCCAACACGGTTCCGGGGGACGCCCAGGGTGCCACTCACCGTGTCCCACAGCGCCAGCTGCCGCTCGCTCATGCGGCTGAAGCCGGTGGTGAAGATCTTGCCGTCGGCCAGGAAGATGGCGCGCATGGGACGGGCCCCCTCGTGCGCCCGCTCCTTCTCCTGGGGGGCACGGCTGTCACCGGGGCCCGCAGCCCCCCAGGGACGCGCACCGAGGGGCAGGGGACAGCGGGGCGAACCAGGGGACAAGGACACCCACAGAACACAGGGCAACGGGGTGCGCCAAGGGACAAGAGCGGGGAGCAGGGGATTCTCCCAAAGAAGCAGCGCAGGGCAGCGCCCCGGGGACACAGCCCCCCCGGGGGGTGGTGGGGACACTCACGGCCACCACGGTGCCGCGGCGGGGGTCGATGACACGGACGCTCTTGTCCTTGCAGGCGGTGCAGAAGCGGGAGCCATCGCGGCTCCAGCTGACGCTGTAGATGAGGTCGGGGTGCAGCCCGTCCAGCCGGTACAGCTCCTCCGCCGTGCCCACGTTCCAGATCAGCACCACGTTGTCACAGCCTGGGGGACACGGCAGGGGTCACCCCGGCCGCGGGGGCCCCTCCCCGTGCCCGCCGCGTGCCCCCGTACCCGCGCTGAGCAGGACGTTGCGGGCGGTGGGGTGCCAGGTGACGATGCCAACGCGCTTCGAGTGGCCCTCCAGGACCACCACCGGCTCCGTCAGCGGCTGGCTCAGCCCGTTCTCCGGGATCTGCCACACCTGAGGGGACAGAGGGGACAGTGGGTGAAGCGCGGTTACCCCTGCCACCCGCTGGGCTCCTGGGCCACCCCTCACCATGACAGTGCAGTCCTCGGAGCCGCTGGCGATGACGTGGTCGTTGTGGGGACACCAGTCGATGTCGAGGACGGGGCCCGTGTGGCCGCACACCGTGGGGTACGACTTGTCAATGCGTCCGGTCTGGGGACAAAGGGACAGCAGGGAGGGGGTCACCCAGCGCCACCAACCCCCCCCGTTCCCCGCGCCACCAGCCTGCTGTCACCTTGTGCAGGGGGAGGACGAGGAAGGCGCCGCCGCCGCTGGCCTCCACGATGATGGCCACGAAGGAGGGGTTGACGGCGCAGAAGGTGCTGTCCCAGGTGACGCGGGACACGCGGATGTCATCGTAGCACTGGTCCGTCTTCACCGGCTGCCCGAACACGTGCCGGAATTTGCTCTGCCGCACCACCTTCCGGAAGGACATGGCTGGGGAGCGCCCCGGCCCCGGTCAGGTGTGCTGGGATACCCCGAAATGGGAGCTGGGTGTCCCCTGAACTGGGTGTGTCACTGTCTCGCAGCCCGGTAAAGGGTGGCTCAGCCACTGCTAGGAGGCAGGAATTGGGGACACACCCCTGTCCCTGCCAGCTCCCTGAAGGGAACTCGGGAAGCAGGACTGGGGGCTCTGAGTGAGACAGGGAGTGTCCCATCCAGGATGGGGACAGGGACAGGGGTGTCCTCCTGGAAAAACGGGTGGGGATGGAAAGGAGGGCAGGGACAGCTCCAACAGGTCAGGAACAGGGGTGGCCCTGCTGGCGATGGGGTCAGGGACAGGGAAAGGCAAGGGGACAAGGATAGGGATGGGGGGGGAGCACCAATGGGCACGGTGGTGGCCTCATTCTGTATAGAGATAGTGACAAGGACAGGGACAAGGATGGGGACAGGAAAAAGGATGGGGACGGGGGCGGGGTCAGGAATGGGGCCGGTGGTGGCCGCGCTCTGTACAGGAACAGGAATGGGGACAGGGACGAGGACGGGGACACGGACGGGGAAAGGGTGGCCCCGCTGGGTACGGGGACAGGGATTGGGAGAGGGACAGGGATGGGGACAGGGACAGGCGGTGGCCCCGCGGGGAACGGGATGGGGCTGCCCCGGGAAGGCGGATGGGGGCCCGCGGGGGCCGCGCCCGGCGGGTCGGTGCCCGGGGCCGGTGCCCGCACTCACCGGCGGGTCGGTGCCCGGGGCCGGTGCCGGGGCCG